GATAAGACACCTCTTTCCGTGGATTCTTTGGTTCTTATGGAAGAATAGAAACAAATTCTTTGTGATAACAGCAGGAGGGCTAGCTTTTGCAGGTATTCAATCTAGGAAAGGTGCTAAGGTGCAAGCTTTTAAATGGGCGTTTGGAAGTATGGTTCACCAAAGACTTGACAGAGTCGTCTGGCTTAGAGGAACCTGATTTTGTTGGTTGCTTGGAAAGACCTCAAAAGCATGGCCTTCTTTTAAGGTTGAAAGTGTAAGAAGATATATGATAGAGATCCTCCATTTATGATATCCGATATCTTCTTCTCCACCTTAGGAAACTTATGTTAATATGTAACCTAGTCTCCAAGTCTCAACTCTGTATATAAGTGTTTTCACTTCACGTTAACTCAATAAGACAAATACATTCATTACATGGTATCCAGAGCTAATTGATTACCCTAATATGTTTTTCTCTTTTATAGCCGCCATCCCCCTCTCCTTTCTTCTACACCTATCTTCCGCCTCTCCGATCTCTATCCTCCTCTCTCATCATGGCTACTACCGCAGAACAAGTTGACGATACCAAACCCTTGCTGAATATCAACATGGTCAACGTCACCAAGCTCACGTCCACAAACTACATGACGTGGAGCTTGCAGATCCAGACTCTCCTCGACAGCTACGACCTCGCCGGCTATCTCGACGGTTCCCCACCAGCGCCTGAACAAACCACAACAGTGGACAACGTCGTCTCTCCCAATCCAGACTACACAAAATGGCGCCGTCAAGATCGTTTGGTTTACAACGGTCTCATAGGCTCTCTCTCTCCATCCATCCAGGCTCTTGTCACCAACACCAAGAGCTCCCAAGACGTCTGGAAATCTCTCAGCTCAACCTACGCAACTCCATCCCGTGGTCATATTCAGCAACTTCGACTTCAACTAAAACACTTTACCAAAGGTGACAAAACCATCGACGAGTACATGAGGGGCTTAACGTCACGTTTTGATCAACTTGGCCTCCTTGGCAAACCGCTCGATCACGAAGACAAGATCGAGTACATCATTGATGGTCTCCCGGAAGAGTACAAATCCGTCACAGATCAAGTCAAGGGCCGTGATACCTCCCCTTCCATCATCGAGATCCATGAGAAACTCATCAACAAAGAAGCTAAACTCCTTGCGATGAATGTTCCTGTCTCACCAGCAATTCCCATGACTGCTCACGTTGCTTCCACACGACCCAAGCCACAGTACCAGCAACAAAACAAAGGAAGCAATCCCAACTGGAACAACAACAACAAGACTAACAACAGCTCCTCACAGAAACAAGACTCGCGTCCTACCAAAGGCTATCAGGGAAAGTGTCAAATCTGTGGCGTGTTTGGTCATAGCGCACGTCGATGCCCTCAGATGCAACAGCAGTACCCAAATGCTCGAGCTTCCCCCTTCAGCCCTTGGCAAACACGAGCCAACATGGCGCTTGCTGCTCAACATCCCTCCAATGCGTGGCTTCTCGACTCCGGTGCAACACACCATCTCACAAGCGATCTCCACCAAATGTCCCTGCAGCAACCATACGGTGGTGATGACTCTGTGATGATCGGAGATGGCTCAGCCCTGGCCATCACACACACGGGTTCCATCTCTCTACCTTCCTCTCCACGGAACTTACACTTAAATGATGTCTTATGTGTTCCAAACATCAAGAAAAATTTAATCTTAGTTTATCGTCTATGTAATGCTAATAAGGTCTCTGTTGAATTTTTTCCTGCCTCCTTTCAGGTGAAGGATCTCAGCTCGGGGGTCCCATTAATCCAAGGCAAGACCAAGGATGAGTTGTATGAGTGGCCAGCCAATCCCATCACCCTCAAATCCTACTTTGCCTCCTCTCCACCAAAGATAACACTACCCATATGGCATTATCGGCTTGGCCACCCCTCAGCTTCTATTTTAAAAAATGTTGTCTCAGTTTTTTCATTACCTTGCACTCAATCTGTATCTCAAACCACTTTGTGCTCAGATTGTGCTATCAATAAAACTCATAAACTACCCTTTCACCAAACCTCTATCTCTTCCTCACGACCCTTACAAATCATTTTCACTGATCTCTGGTCTTCACCTGTCCTCTCAGTCGATCAGTACAAATACTATCTAGTACTTGTGGATCATTATAGCCGTTACACCTGGATATACCCTCTCAAGCTTAAATCTCAAGTTAAAGGAACGTTCAAGCAGTTCAAAGCTCTTGTCAAAAATCATTTCTCCTCCAAGATCGGCACTCTCTATTCTGATAATGGAGGTGAATTTGTTGCGCTACGCCACCTCCTAGCTGAAGCCGGTATCCAACACCTAACCTCACCACCTCACCCACCAGAGCACAATGGTGTCTCCGAACGAAAACATCGCCACATAGTTGAGACAGGTCTCTCTCTCCTCACCCACACATCCATGCCAAAGTCATACTGGTCATATGCCTTCTCCACCGCCACCTACCTCATAAACCGCATGCCTACTGCAGTGCTCGACATGGACTCACCATTTCACAAAATTTTCGGTATGCAACCAAACTACTTGAAGCTGCGAGTTTATGGATGCCTCTGCTTTCCATGGCTCTGACCCTACACTGCACATAAACTTGAAGATAGATCAATACCGTGTGTTTGCATAGGCTACTCCCCAACACAAAGTGCCTATCTCTGCTTAGAACCTAACACTTGACGCATCTATATCTCAAGGCACGTACGGTTTGATGAGTCAGTTTTCCCATTCAAATTACCTAAACCACAGCACAAGCCACCAAATTCATCACCACCAGAACCCACAACACTCTCCTCACCACCAGTAACTATAGTACCCACAACCACCTCCTCCATTGAACCAAAACCCGCCACATGTACAACAAATGGGGACTCCGAGCTCAGATTCTCATCAGTCAGGTCAGGTAAATTCTCAGTCTCCTTCTCTTAGTAATACTAACGATGATAATCTGAGTGCAGAACTCTCGGCGGACTCCTCTAACTCGGTCCCTGCAACATCGACTTCCTCCAGCTCCTCACCTTCGGCTCCTGGCTTGCAGCACACACCATCGGTATCAACGTCCTCTACTGATCCAGTGAGCTCGTCAGCAGAACTACCACCTGCACATATCAATAATCATCCGATGATCACTCGCAGGAAGAACAACATCTCTAAACCAAACTCGAAGTACAATTATGCTGCAGCTCTGTCCAGACACGGTCCAGCCGAACCAAACACCTTGACTCAAGCGTTAAAGGACAAACTCTGGAGGGGTTCTATGTCAACAGAAATTGACGCCTTTGCTCGCAATGGAACCTATGATCTGGTCCCCCGCAAGCCTCACTTCAACGTCGTCGGCTGCCGTTGGCTATACAAAAACAAATTCCACTCCGACGGCACTCATCGGTGTTGTAAGTCTCGCCTAGTCGCAAAAGGATACAATCAAGAATATGGTCGCGATTATACAGAAACGTTCAGCCCTGTTATTAAGTCCACAACACTCCGCCTTGTTCTCGACATAGCCATCAGCAACTCGTGGCCTATACAACAACTAGATGTCAACAACGCCATCCTGCAAGGAACGCTAACGGAAGAGGTTTACATGGACCAACCACCAGGCTTCGTGGATCCAGACAAACCAAATCATGTCTGCAGACTTCACAAAGCGGTTTACGGCCTCAAACAGGCTCCCCGAGCATGGTACACGGAACTGCGCACCTTCCTCCTTGGCCTTGGATTTGTCAACTTGCTATCAGACACTTCGTTGTTTATCCTGCGTCTTGAGAATCAGTTCATCTACCTCCTCATCTATGTAGATGACATCTTGATCACCGGCGACACAAATGCAGGCATCGCTCGGGTTCTCAAGCTTCTCGCGCAGAGATTCTCAGTCAAAGATGCGAAAAACATGAACTACTTCCTAGGGATAGAGGCGCATCGCAGTACTACTCAGGGTCTGCATCTCTCTCAACGTAAATACATACTTGACGTGCTACACAGATACGACATGACAAACGCCAAGCCAGTAAAAAATCCCATGGCGTCCTCACCAAAACTAAACCTTCAATCTGGAACTCCTCTTCGTGACGCAACAAAGTATCGCAGGCTCATTGGAAGCCTTCAATACCTTCAATTCACACGATTGGACATAGCTTATGCAGTGAATAAGCTCTCCCAGTTCATGCACATGCCTACTGAAGATCATTGGCAAGCAGCAAAGCGAATCCTCAGGTACCTCGCAGGCACACCAGCACATGGGATTTTCTTCTCTGCGACAAACAAGCTAGTCCTACACGCCTACTCGGACGCAGATTGGGGAGGAGACAGCGATGATTATATCTCCACAAATGCTTATGTCATTTACCTTGGTCAACACCCTATATCGTGGTCTTCAAAGAAACAAAACGGAGTAGCCAGATCCTCCACTGAAGCGGAGTACAGAGCAGTCGCAAACACAGCGTCTGAGCTTAACTGGATCTGTAATGTTCTCTCTGAGCTTGGTCTCCACTTACCATCACCTCCACTGGTCTTCTGTGACAATGTAGGAGCTACATTCCTCTGCACCAATCCAGTTTTCCATTCCCGAATGAAGCACATCGCCATAGACTACCACTTTGTTCGGAATCAAGTTCAGCGAGGAGCTCTCAAGGTAGTACATGTCAACACTCGAGACCAACTTGCGGATGCACTTACCAAACCACTCACTCGAGCCAAGTTCATGGAACTGCGAAACAAGATTGGAGTGAGACCTCTCTCTCCATCTTGAGGGGGCGTGTAAGAAGATATATGATAGAGATCCTCCATTTATGATATCCGATATCTTCTTCTCCACCTTAGGAAACTTATGTTAATATGTAACCTAGTCTCCAAGTTTCAACTCTGTATATAAGTGTTTTCACTTCACATTAACTCAATAAGACAAATACATTCATTACAGAAAGCTCTATGCTTTTGAATATTTTGAGTAATATCCCCTCCTGGAAAATCAGTTCAGAAGTCATGGAGACTAATAAAGGAGCTTATCTCATTGCCAAAAGTGTTTCTCTCCCATGCTTTGGCCAGTCGTACGTTGCTGTTGGCGGTCCGGGATGGTTGAAGACACTATTTGACAGTGAGAAAGTGGGATCCTTTTCATAGTGTTATTTATTTATTGAGATGGTGTTTTTTTTGTGCTTTCCCATCTCTTTTTGATTGTTGTATTTGAGGGTGTAGCTTTTGTTGCCTATCTTGTGGGTGGAGTCTGTTATGTAAAACAATGGAAGCTCTTGTGATTAATTTAATTGTTCCTTGAGGAAAAAAAAAGGAAAAAAAAGGGTATGAAGAGTTGTCACCAGAATGGGCCATCAAGAAATACAACTAACTATTCACATTACACTATAAAGAAAAAAAAAATTAAGGCAACGATAAGTTTTCTTAAATCTTTTCTAGATGTTGCAGACACTCACGCTGAAGATTTTGATGAACCATCGTTACGCATGAGTATCTCAAAATTTGCTATAGTTGCAAAATTTCCAGTTCGAAAGCGACACTGAACAAATAGCGGAGACGTGAGAACAGAGATAACAAGTGAGCTCTTATTTACAGCCAAGTCTTGTAGAGAGGGAAACCCAATAGTTAGATGGAAAGGAGGCTCAAAACCAAGAAATAATGATAAACGTGAAAGGATGCCATTTCCTGAAAACAACGGAAGAAGCATCAAAGACCCTAGCTACAAACATAGAAGAAGGTCAAAAACAAGGATAACTTATACATAAAGGAACATATTATGCAAACAGAACATAGAATCCTTCCTTTGATGTCTGCTTGACCGATTGGCACGTAACTTATCTAACCTGATCCAAGGCGGAGGTAAACATTGACAACAAGAAGGAGGTCAAGACTCAAAGTGAATCAAAAGCATCATTTAGGAACTTTAAGAAAGGGATCACTTGCGCTTACCAAGTGATTTTCAGGAACTATGACCAACTGCATGATATGAGTATTTTTAACAAAATATGTAGATTAACCCTTACGAAAATATTCACTATTTTTATCAAATGCTCTATATACCAAAGTTTATACTCTTTAGTGTTTTTTTTATTTTATAACCATATTCTTCTATATTTGTATATAAATTAGGTTAACTCTTTTGTAATACCTTTTGTTCATTCTTATGAGTTATCGTTCTTAGCAAGAGAAAAAAAAAGTCTTATCAGTTTTTCATATGCTTGTAAGTTGGTCACTACCTAATTATTTATGTCGGGTACCTGTAGTCTTTAGAGTTTAGAGGGAACGAATTACTGCCAGTTCTAGTCAAAACCAATCAAGATTACAAGGTCAGTTGCATTTTTTTGTAAAATCATAATATCATATATATATATATATATATATATATCTACATAGTTGGACTAACTACGTTAGTATTTCTGGTTTTCTCTACCTGATATTGCTGGAGTCCAGGTGCATATGCCTTTGTTTCAATTTGATGAGGTCAACTTGCTGTATTCATTGACGGTAGGTCTTATGTGTACTCAGTTGAAGTTGGCTTATTTGTTGAGCCACTTGTATTTGGTTTCTACAGTAACCTGAGCTCATGGGAGAGGACAAGGGTACCAAGGTTGATATATATACATAGACGTTGAGCTATTTGTACCTGGAAATAGACTTTTGTAGGTCTTCCTTAAAAATTCTTCCGACTTCCCTGCCATAACAATATAGTTCAATATTGTATGTTGCATGTGCTCATATCAAACAATTATTGATTTGTTGCATTAATATTTGGTAAACAACCCACAGTACATTCGTCACTTTGAGGTTTAGTGAAATGAGAAGAAGAGAAGAGAAAGTAGTAAGAGTTCAAGAAGGGGTGACGCCCTGTTTGGCCTTAAGGACAAGCTCCTCGGTGGTGGTCCCTATGATCTCGTTGGCTCGCTTCAGCCCCATGCAGTAGTACCTTCCAATGGTGTCACGGGCAACGATCCCCAACTTCTCTAGCTTCTGGACTGCATCGTCCACATCAAAGTTACACCTCTCACCGAACTCTTCCTTTATCAGTTCTTCACATCTCAGATCCAGATCCTATTCCCCCACATTCCCACCAACTCAAGTCAGCACTCGCTAATGATAACAGATCAATACCAAAAGAGTAAATTTGGTATTATGTACCTCCAAGGTAGCTTTCCCCTGCTCCATTAGTATGTAGAAGCAAATCATCACCTCTTTTACCTGCGTGTGTAACCCAAAACTAGGCTGTGTTACTATTCCAAAAGGCATTCACGCCCATATGAATAAAGACTACATTCATGCAGGAACTTTACTTCTTGCTGAATAACGTCATCGCACAAGTGTAATAGCGTTCCCTTCCCGCTGTCTAGTTGTTTATCATACATTGACTGTGTTATCAAGTTTTGGTACGTCGCCATGTTCTGCTGGAAACTGAAGTAAAACAACTTTGCGATAAGTCTTAACTAACTCACAAGAAAGAAGGGCAAGGACAAATAGAAAACACTTAACGTGAAGTATGTTTTGGCACAATAACCAACCACTGTGGAGAGAACTGCAAAGATTACCCATGGGTCTGCTTTCGGCATCTCAACTGAAGTAACCACGGCAACCTGTAGAAAAAGTCTATGATAACCAATAAAGACATACATACATGAACTGCAACAGGAAAAGAAGGAGACCAACCAGACCAACGACGGCAGATATCAGAAATTTGACCCAATCCATTGGAGTCAGTCCAGGATTTCTTTTCTCAGGCTGCAAAAGAAGTAAATGTTATTGCTATAAACACACAACTTGCATAGAGAAAGAAAGGCAGAAACTTACTAGCACAATCTCCATGTCGGCCATAGGAATGTTTTTGAAATGCTTGACGTATATTCCTCGTTCTAGATTTGTTTTAGAGCTGGCTCGCCTGTAACCACATCCTTCTTGAACCACAAATTCACAAAGGGACAGATAGATGAAACAAGGAACAGACATAAACCTTACCTATAAACAACAATCATTCTATCAAATGTAGGCTCTTGTATGGTGAGCTTGCTCAAGAAACTCTTAAAGCTGAATTTCATCAAGAGAAAAGCCATTAATTATTATATATACAGTTTCCAGAATGTCCCAAGTTGGGTGGAAAGAGAATCACAGCAAGCAAGGGATACCTCAACTGTGTATTCTCAAGGCGAATACGCTCCACATACAAGTCCTCATCATCTGCTTCAGGGTTTGTCTCATCATCCTTTTTGGGATCTTTCTTTTGATGTCTGCTTGACCGATTAGCACGTAACTTATCTAACCTGTGATCCAATGAGGAGGTAAAAATTGAGAACAAGAAGGAGGCTAAGACTCAAAGTGTATTGAGAAGTGTCATTTAGTAACTCAAAGATAACTTGCGCTTACCAAGTAATTTTCATGAAACATGACCAAATACGTGAAATGATCACATCTAACTTCTCCATGAAAAAGAAATCTGTGGTCTTGTCCATGCCAATACCACGCCTGAAGATGACATACTACAAAATTGGGTAGAACACAATTTATGTATTTGTTAGCAGTAAGCACATCGGTCAAGAAAGGTATTATTAAACTATAATTCTTGGTATTATAAGTATACGAAGCTGAAACAGTACATTATCAGAAAAGTCTGGAAGATTTTCATGTGGGTGCTCCTCAAAATATCTCTTGAGTAGCTTCTTGTCAAGCTTCACACACCAAAGCAAGAAAACTGGTTGAAAGAGAGGAGTCAAAATATGTTATGTGGGGCTAATTGGTTCTCAGATCAAACCTTTGACTCGTCAACTTTGATGGGAAGATTCAGAAGATACTGGCCAGAGCGTGCAACCTCGATCTCATCATCTGTTGTTATTTTAAAGTTGCTCTTGTCCATGACCTTGTGAAAGGAAAAGGACAAACATTCAAGAACACGGACAGACTACAATAACGCAAGGACAAAAACAAGCAAAATACCTGAAACAAGTAAGCGAGGAAATTCTGTTCAAGCACATCAATTTCCTGAGAAGTTAGGTTCTGCTGCTGGAGTTTCTGAGAACCGGATACAGGATCAAAAAGAGAGTAGAGTTGCTGCAGATGGAAAAACCATGACTGAGAACAACAAGAAAGTGCAAACACTGTTTCTAAGAAGAAGAAAATAGGAGGGAGGGTAAACACCATCAAATCTTCAAATTGAAGATTATACCAAGCTCGGACAGTGTATTCAATTCTCTTGCAGAGCTTGAGAAACTCTTGTCTATCATTGCTATGTTCTGCATCAGAAAAAAAAAACAAAACAAAACTCTTTGTCTAGGCATCAAAAAAAAAACAAAGGCAAATCATGACATTTAACTGAAGAAAATCGAATACAACATATGCAATGTAACTAAAGTTTTGAATCGGTGTTGTCTAATCCGACCTAGCCAAATAGAGAAAGAAATTGGAGAGACTGACCAATGAGATTAGCCAAGGTCATGATGAGCTTAGGTTTGAGGATAGGGATGACGGATTCCGGCTCCAGACGAATCGTTTCCTTTTTCCGTTCCGCCGCCATCTCTTTTTTTGGAGAATAAAATATCAGATGTTAGGAAGAAAGGAGATCCTCGATTTTTAAGACAAGAACAGGATTATAACTGAAGCCCCTTGGTCCTTCCTAACTACGAATTAATGTCGTTGGGTGGAGTATTAACTCGACCAACGGATCTGCCCTGCTTTTCTATTTCGGGTTTTTCTTTTATTTTTTTATTTTTATTTTTTTAAATAATAAGGTAGCCACACTCATCTATTTTCCTCCAATCATTGCATAATAGCTTCCCCTGATTCTGAACCATAAAATAATGGGGTAATTGCCTTATTTTAATTCAGATGGATGACTATTTCCTTGCCGACATCCAAAAAAAGTAGTATATAATAGTTTCGGATCAATATGTGCCGGTAAAAATACAAATTGCAAATGATAAAAAAGACGAGGATGGTACACGTCCTCAGTTCTATCCTACCATGTCTCAAATCATAAGTTAAGCCCGTGAACTTTATTGGGCTTTGACTACATCCCAAAATGTCAGATTAAACTCGAAGAGGCTCTGCCTGGCCCGTTTTGAACCCTAATTCCTCAGATTTTTAATGGGCTTCACGTTCTTGCCGTGATGAAGACGCCTCTTTTTTGTAGATTTTGAGATTTCTATTAGATGAATCACAGATATTAATCTAACAATGATCAAGAAGAGATACAAAACAGACACAAACAAGAAAAAAACAAAACGTTTCGAAAGTGTTATATGAGAAATGGACTTGTGTTGAAGTTATTACCACATGATGGGCATATAATCTATGCACTGACGTAGATTCCTATATCAAAGACCATTCACCAGTTTCTTTATTTGTATTGCAAATTGTTTACTTTTCATCAGCTTTCTAATTTGAATACATTTTGCAGTAGAGCCTTTTATGATTACACAATAAGGTTCGTGAAATAAGATAGCATCTTCCGACAACTCTCGATAAATGGTGATCGCGTTTACAACAAATCAATGATCATGTCAACGTGCAGCCTATGATTTTCAAGTTAGTTCGTAAAATATTTAAGCTGCGAGTTGTTTTTCTTTAAACTAAGCAGTGATTCTGTTCCCATTTAATTTTTATGATGCTTTGTAATATATTTCATATTGCAAATTTGCAAGTATACAATAAGCATTTGTCCACACTATACGTTATTTATGAAACTACTAACTTTTGTTTGATCTCATGTGTAGTATTCGTTTTGTTAAGTTTTCACAAGATTATATAGTGTATATCAATTTTTTCTGGTAAAAAAAAACCATAATTATTATAGTGATGTTTCTTCTTCTGTTTAACTTTACATGTTGTTTGTGAAAATTATTTACATGATTTTTTTTTTAAAAAAAATGTGTATACTTTTATCTTTTACAAAATAACTTCCACCTTTTAAAAATATTTTTAAATGTTTAATCATCTTTGATAAAATAGTTAATACTGAACCGTCATAAGAAGCAGCACTTATATTTATATATATATATATATATAAAATCACGTATTTTTACAATATTCATATACTTAAAAATCATTTTTAATTTTTGTATTACCAATTTATATTTAACAAATGTGCACATGTTAATGTGTAATTTCTCAACTATATATGGATTAGGTGTTTTCTTGCAAAAGCATTGTGTGGAGGCTTAAGCATTCGGCCTTCTTTGAGACATATACCTACGAAGTGACCTCAAAACTTGCATTGTTGCCTCCTCGTGAAATCTCTAGCTAGGTGTGCAACCTGCAAAGTCTACAAACAGTCTGAAGTGGGGACTCTTGTCAGGCTCTCTGGTATTAAGGAAACAAAACTCTTATTCTAGTTGTGTAGTATAATGTAATCTGACGGGAGCTCTTAAGTGTTTTTCGTATTTGGATATATGAAGACTGCTTCCAACGAAGTCTCAATCTAAAATAATATATAACAAAAGCCTGTGGAGCAGAAACCTATTCTAAAGCTTCTTCTAATACGAGTCACCAGCCACAAGAGACAAGGTCACATCTCTCAAGTGATGAAAATATAAGTGTTGATATAAATGTGGATCAAGGGAAACCAAAAAGTTCGATAGTACACAGGCCCAAAAGATATTTGATCCGTTGCACCAGAAGTTAAATTTTGAGTTATTGTAAGTAGGTAGTCATAATCCGAAGGATGAAGCCGCCACACCTTTTCTTTATACTTTCTACCAAACTCTTTAATCCGCTAATCTTATTTAATTTCTTTCTTTTTGTTATCGCTCGCGTCTTCGTTGCCGTCTACGCCTCTCTCACCTTTCACACATAGTCAAAGACACGTGATCTGGCTACTAGTCTTTTTTGGAATCTACAAGTTCAAAAATATTGATTATTTTTCTCCACAGAACGCAGAGGGATGGAGGATAGGTCATGTCAGGTGTTGTTTCCATCTTCGTCATGTTCATCGGTTGATCATCGCTTGTCTGGTGATCAAACACAGTGTGCAACTCAGATCAACAACACGTCCTCCGCGTTGCCACATCATAACACTACCGAAGGAAAGAAACACAAGAGTAAAAATAAAGAGAGAGAAGCCAGGTTTGCTTTCCAGACAAGAAGTCAGGTTGATATTCTCGATGATGGATACAGGTGGAGGAAGTACGGACAAAAAGCTGTCACGAACAATCCATTCCCCAGGTACCGACATGCATATAGGCTTTCTTTTGGTTGGTGCATGATAAATACGGAAAACACTCAATCACTCATGTGTGTATATGTATGTATGTGTAGGAGCTATTATAAGTGCACAGAAAAAGGATGCAGAGTAAAGAAGCAAGTGCAGAGGCTATCAGGAGATGAAGGAGTGGTGGTTACCACTTACCAAGGAGTTCATACCCACCCCGTTGATAAACCCTCCGATAACTTCCACCACATCTTGACACAGATGCACATCTTCCCTCCCTTTTAGTTTATATTTTTTTTTTCTCATTTCATTTTCTTATGCATACCGATGTATCTTGAGTGGGTTTAGATGAATTAGTTTGGCGCAAAAGAATGCCGCTGAAGCCCAAAGAAACATCTATACACACACACTAGTCCTTGTCCTTGGGTTTCCTTGGAATATATCTCCTTTGGTGTCTTGGTGGACTCCGCTGAATCACTTTTAGCTAGTTGTTGAATCAAATTAGCACTCTTTTATCTGTGAGAGAGAGAGAGAGAGAGAGAGAGAGAGAGAGAGAGGTAAGCTGCAGGCGGATTGCTTGACGTCGCCCTTCAAGAGGAGCACTACCGTGCCGGCCACCGTCAGAATGACCATGTTCCCCCCCCTAAATGAAACTCCTTCAAGCGGGCTTTGTTTGAAAATCAGCCCATTACCCTCAATGGGTTCTAATATTTGCTCTTCATATAGGATCAGCCCAAATAAGCCCAGCTGCAGTAATTCACCATATTGAAATTTATCACTTCCAGGTGTATCAACGTCGATACAAGATCCGGCTATCAGATGCAAACGATTTTAGAGATTCCAGTGAGCTTACTTTCTTAAGTTTTTCACTTTCTTGAGTTAGTCTCATAGTCATCCCCAAACAAATTTAACTGGATCAGTAATTTAATATAACCATTATGATGAGAAAAAAAAAATTTAATCATAAATAAAGACACATCACATGTCATCTGAAATATTTTAATGTCGATGTAAGCAAATAAAAAAAAGCATCGTATTAGTGATAATATACCTTTGAAGGACCATGTGATAAAAAAAAAAAAGCAAATATGTAACCGAATATATCACATTTGTAAGAATCATCTCAAAAGATATGCCAAGTTAAATTTATATTCCTTCTTTGTCTATTCAGTTGTTCTAAGAAAACGTTTATGATGTTTCATATTGTAAAATGTTTTAATTCAATACACAGTGAGAGAGCTAGATATATTTTTTTACTGAGAACAATACTATTACAATTATGTAATAGACTTAATAATTACTTCTATAAATTAATTTATGATATAAAAGTTTAGCAGCTCTGTTCTTTGTAAAAAACTAGAAACCAAAATAACTGTACATATATATTTTTAAAACAGCATAACATATTCACTGCAATAAGAGTAAAATTTGGTACAAGTAGAGGTTCGTTAAATTCTTTCTTTATGTCAATACACATTTTAGTTTCTATTTAGTTGATTGCTAGTTTATTAATATTTTCTTAGATGAAGAACTGTCATAGCCCGTGGTGGGCAGCTGACCCCCACTTCCTTGACTACCTCCACCACTTCCAATGTATACATATTGAAAATCAATGTTAAATTAGTTTATTGAATTATAATTTAAACTCAAATAATTTAATTATAATTTTAAATTACCTTACTTATATACTTTTTGATAAATTTCAAAGTAATCTAGCTATGTGTAAATATTTTTATAATTTAAACTGAAATGAAAGTAATATATTGTTCTAGTTAAAAATGACATATGTACTACTAAACAGTAAATATATTTCTTTGGTCAAAAAACAGTAAATATATACATATCATTGAGGAAGAGCAATAAAAATGGAAAATGTTGGTTGTGCCGCCGCCACAAACCGCACAACGATAACGTTATTCGCTTGGTTTTGTTTATAATATCTCTATGGAATAAATTTGTCCCCCATTCTTTAACAAAAACAGAAAAGCTATCCACATTTTTTCTTTGATGACACAGATGGATAAAGTATCTTCACTAATAAGAATTTACGAACAAGGTAATCTTTTACCGTGCGAGAGAAACTTGTATTTATTTTAATCAGTTAAAATAGATGTATCGTCGTGGCTTGTTAAGCATGAAAGTTGGGAGTTATTCATCAAAAAAGTGATGCTTCTGAATGATATTATTTGAAAGGGGGAAGGACCACGCGTCTTTGACACCTCTCTATCTCTCTGCATGTCCTGGTTACAACATAACGAAACTAAACCCTTTTTCATATATATATATGCATACATGTGAAACACCAACAACAGGAGGAAAAAAAAACAAGTATACGTAAGTCATTAATTCGATCATGGAGATGAACAGTTCACGGAGATCAAGAGGGTTCAAGATAGCTAAGCTACTGCCCTTTTGCAAAGCTCTGAAGCCTCCAACGGACTCCCAAGACCTTTATAATAATGTTCACTACACTTCCTCCACCACAACTTCCTACGCTCTTCAACCTGATTTCAGTAACTACGTAACTCCTCTTCCTCCTAAAGTTAGCTTCCTCCTTCAACCATGTACGTAATTAACTTAAATATATTTTTTTATCTCTCTCTATATATATGCTTCGTATCATATATAAAATGACCAGTGGTGTGGTGATGTGTTTGGCAGCCCTGGCTCATGAGGGGGAGGATATGGACAAGAAGCTGAACAAGATGACAGAAAAGCTGATCGGAAGAGGGATTGAGGGTACGGACGATTGCGTTGACGCTAGAGCCGCTTCTTATATATCATCGGTTCGAGAAAGGTTCAAGCTGGACCACTGTGAGAGAGTGACGACGACTGTTGCTAGCTTAAATCATGAAGATGTTGTTGACCATTAGGACTAACGACATAAGCTTAAACCCGATCGTTTAGTTAAATACAAGTTTCTTTGGGTTGTTGCTTATGAGTAAAAACCCTTTTTAGGTTTTTTATTGATTTTAATAAGGAAAACTGAAAATTTAGTTCCTACGAAATATGAAGCAGTCAGATTTGTTGTACGCGAAATAAGGGGGGGGGGGAAGCAGAACACGTCATTTGTTATATGCTGAGTAAAAATAAATAGTAAAAGGAATTGGTCAATCCACTAATTTTACGGACGAATTCATGGATATAGCATTAACTGATAAAAATTACACAAGGGAATCGGAAATCAAGAAGATGCAAAGATTCACAAATTAAAGGGACCTAGACGAAATGAAGCTGGGTTTAATTAATTAGGCTGCGTAGATGTGGATGTTAAGGGCGACGAGGGAGATGGTGATGAAAGCGAAGAAGAGGAGAGTGTGGATGACAATGGAAGGACCGCTTGTTTGAAACTTACCAAACTCAACCGCTTTGCTCTTTCCAGGCAGCTGAAACAGAACTCCAGGGCTCAACAGTATGAAAAAAACCACCGACATCAACACTGGTCCCCAGTCCAACCCCATTTCGATCTCTTTGTTTTCTATGTCTCTCCTTCTTCTCTATATATACATGCACTGTTTTACTTATGTGTGTATATATAATGCATGATTTTGGTGTAACAATTTATTGATGAGTATAAATAAAAGTGCAAGGAGGGTTCTTCTCAGTTTTAGTGTATGAAGGAAAGAACTATTCTCTGGCTCGAATTTCACAACTATATCTATTAACCTATAAAAAAAAGACTACATATATTTAAATGGTATTGCTTGTTTTGAAAACAAAGCATGTGATTCTCGTCTTGAGGAAATCGTCTCTCGCAAGAAAGACGATACCTTTTGCGATTCTATGGGTTTAAATTGCTTTGTGGTGCAGATGTACTTAGCCTCGAGTTTGAGCTTATTGTTTGTTAATATACCCGAAAATTTGATGTTACTTTGGCTCTTTTCATATATTATTGCAACCGGATGGTCCGGATCGTCCTTATACAACCAAAAAATCAAACCTATAACTAATGATTGTCGTCGTGAGGCTTATTTTCATCCTTTCTGGGATTAGTCCATAAGCTGAAATTTATAACACATACTATATATGCTGGACTAAATCTTATACCTTTATAACAAAGTATATAACAAATAAGTAAATTCTAAATGACATACGAGATTGAACATAAAAAATGACATACGAGAACGTTAACTCTCTAAGTCAGATCATATATGTAATCACTAGAATAGATCCAAAATCATATTAAAGCTGATATTTTTAATCATGCACTAAACGCGGTTATACCGATCAAATCAAGTACTGGTTCTTATGAAATGAGGATAAGACGGAGTAGGAAAGCAAGAGAATCTAAACCAACCCAATATATGCAGTCAAGTATATTTCAACACTTTCAACTTTACATAAAGAAATGAATATTTATGGCAATCAAGAAACCGCAGACAAGAGAAATTAAAGGAAGATAATCAAGCCTTCTGCCCTTTTCTGTCATCCTTAAATAATCTCAAATATTACTGAACGTACACCTATCCACACACGTTCACAGATATATATATATATATACCAAGTGCAGTGTGTCTGTGATATACAATAAATTTTGGCTCTGGTTAATTAGTTCTTTGATACCTGATAAAATAATCGAATAATTTGGAGCTCCAACGACTTGATCTGATCGGTAGCAATGGGAGGAGCTGACTGGGGTCCGGTGGCGGTTGCGGTGGTGCTGTTTGTAGTGTTATCGCCGGGTCTTCTTTTTCAGCTGCCGGCGAGGAGAAGGGTATTGGAGTGTGGCAACATGACTACGAGCGGCATATCCATATTGGTTCATGCCATCCTCTTTTTCGCTATCATCACCATTCTGGTCATCGCAATTCAAATTCACATTCACATCTAGCAATTAGCTTACCTACTCCGTGTCCTTGCTAAGATTATTTTGTAATCTATCATTTGTGCTGGTTTGTTTATTTCTCCTATAATTATAAAAGGTATAAAAACTCCCCGCATGTGATTTTGGTGTAAGATTAACGGGGAAGATACGGTTACTATAAAAAAAAAAGTGTCATGATATAATATTAAATGGTCATTATAAGATTGTATACTTGATTGCTTAATGTATTGATTATAAGAGTTCTCTTTATATAGAGATACAAGGTTCGTAGGATATACAAGACTAGTATATGATCCAACTAATGTAAATAACAACCAACTATATATGAAGTTAATCTACTAAACAAGATAATAGTTATCTTTAATAAAGTACTTATCCTAATATCTCGTCAAGAAGGTGCACGAGTAGTGATACCGATCTTGGTAAATAGCATTCCAAATCGGTTTCGTGTAAGCGGTTTGGTAATACCATCAGCTAAATGATCCTTCGAAGAGACATGTGAAACTCATAGTGTACGATTTTGAAGTTGATCTTGTATGAAGTGATAGTCAAGAGCTAAATGTTTTATTCTCGAAGGGAAAATCGGATTGGCACTTAGATATGTAGCTCCAATAGATGGTGGGAACATTGTTAAGCTTGACACCAACTTCACCCAGTAAAGAATAGAGCATATACGAAGTTACTATACTAAACAAGATAAGATTATCTACAATCATGTATTTATCCTAATAGTCATCTCAAGAAGAAGATGAAAAAGTTTATCCAAAATTTCTAAAAGTTTCATAATACAAAAAAAAAGCTCCCACACCACCAAAGAAGAGATTAGAACCAAAATTTAGAGCTAATTATTAGAGAGGGTGAGTAAATTTAAAACCACAATTCACACAACAATATGCGTGAAACAAAAAGAAAGAAAAAAAACGAGAGTCAAGAAAGAAACCAAATCCTGGATGGAGGCATTGAGCTTGCCCAATCGAAATATGGGCCGTTATAGAAGCCTTTTTGGGGTATTTGGGCTTAGAGACTTTTCCTTGACAGTAACAAAAACCCTCCTTACTCTGAACACAAAGCAAAGGATCTGCTATCTCAAAGTCAACGCAAAGGCAAGCTCTTCTTTGCTTTATTTCTGATCTGATCTGCTATGTTATGTATTCATTCAATTTGATGGCAGGAGCCGTTCAAGGCTGAGCCCTCGTTCGGGCTTAATTTCATCATATGTCACTCCCGTCCATCTTTTCTACAAGCGAAATCATGGCTCATTCCCTTTGTTGATCACATCGAAAGGTCCCTCATCCATTTCTTTCAACTTTGCCTCCCTCTGATTCTGTATCTCGTTTCCCCCCAACCAGCTACTCTGTGGCCGTCACTGGATTGATCGTATTGGTCTACGGTATATGTTTTCTAGGCCCATTAGGGTTAAGCGGTTAAACCGTCGACATATATATGGTATGTATATAAACTTGTTGTACTACGTTAAACACGGCATATTCTTTTTATTGACAGATCGACAACCCAAGAAAGCCATTCATCGAAGATATCTTATTAATATTACTAGGTGATTTTCCCGTGCTCATGCACGGGCATAAATATTTATAAAATAAATATATTATAATATTTGATTGATATTTACTTTAACTTTTATATTAATTTATAGTTTTTATGTATAATTATATTAACAATATTATATTATTTTAGTTATATATAATTTTAGATATATTATAATACTTAATTGATATTTACTTTAACTTTTATATTAATTTATAGTTTTTATGTATAATTATATTAAGAATATTATATTATTTTAGTTATATATAATTTTAGATATATTATATTTAGTTAGTTTATCATTTGGATATATATATATATATATATATATATATATATATATATATATATATATATATATTGGATTCTATCTATTTCTCTGAATTCAACTATAATCTTTTTTATTCTAAATATCTTAAATTTTTGATTAATTGTTTTATTTACATTTATGTTGGTTGTTATCTTAGAAATATAAGTATATCTTAGTAAGATTATATATTTTAATATTTTTTGTGCTTAGAACGAAAAAAATAAAAACTAAAGTTCTGATTCTAAATTACATACATAAGTAATAATAAATTTTCAGAAGCTTATGAAAACATATCAATATTTACAATAATTAAATAGTTTAGAAATTTTAAATAATTTATGCCTTAGATTGATTGGATGGTAAAATGAAATTTATTTTAAATAATTTTTAAAATAAAGAATTATGATTTTCTTAAGTATTTTGATTATGGTTATATTAAATTCCACAAACATAAAAAGAGAAAATTAAACATCAAAAGAGTTATTAAGAAAACATATGATTTTAACTATTAAAATATAATATATCTACCTCGTTAAATTATATAGTGTTATGATATTTTAAAAGAATTGTAGTTATATGATCAAAAGATGTTTACCATTAAATTTATTTTTAGTTTTGTTTTTAATATCTCTTAAAATATGCAGTAAAGATGTGATTATTTTTGAGAAATTATATTATATAAGTAAAATATAATTTATATTTTTTGCTCTAACGGTAAGATATTATAATCAAATAAATATACTAATTATAATTTTTTTGTCAATTAAACATATATCAGTTTATGTTACTTAATTATATTATGTAATCATCTAATAAAATAGATAGATATATACAAAAACTAATTACTTTGAAAATATATATTTTATTGTTTAAATTATTTTTTTAAGAAAAAATATTTCTTTTTCTAATATCAAGATTATTTGTATGAAATTTTTTTATGAAAGCACATTATATACAAATATTTTTTCATCTAAGAAGATATAGATATAAAGTATAATTACTTAAAAAGTATAATTTATGTTATTTAAAAATATATTTAAGTTAAATATTACTATCTTGTAAACTTTCCTTTTTTATGAAACCATATTATATATATACTTATTTTCGTTTTTAAATAATTTTGTAAATTTTAGAAATATTTCCTTTTTGTTTTATATCGTTATTTGGAAGATTTTAAAAAGGAAATAATAATATTTAAATATATTTTTAATTCATTAGGGGTATCATAGTAATCAACCAGCGTGAGAGTTAACGTGAGCGCGACACATAAGAAAGTGACTCCTCAAATAATATTATAGAGATATGAGATACATACATTTCTTCTTCATCAAACTGCCATTAACCAGTCTGTTTTTTCAGGTCCCTGCCCAAGTAGAGTGTCACTGCTACTCTTTAGGTTTATTCTTAATTATTCATCCTTGTATATCTGCGCAAGCCTTTTTCTCAGTTCTTGTATCATGTGTTCAAATCAAGAACCACCTCTTTCTATGTCCTCTTAGCTTTAGGTCGTCGTCTGGTAAGTTATTTTTAATATCCAACCCCAGTTCTTGTATCAGTTATTTTTATTATTGTTATAATAAATGTGCATGGAATCATATGGTTGAGCACATTTATCAATAGTGTATGCTTCTTGATTGCTGCCCAGCCCGAATATGAATATTCTTTTACTGAGAGGAAAAATAAGATCAAACATCTTTTGATGATGTATATACTGTGATTCGCTATTTACCGTGGGAAGAAAAAACAACTTAAATAGTATTGAGAATAGAAGATTGACTGACTAATGTGACGCAGTGTTTTTTTTTAAAACATACTATATATATGTTTCAGATTTGGCATTTTTCTAACCAACCCAGTAGATTGATTCCCTGATTATTTAAGAGTTACGGTATAACAACAGCTTGTTTCCTATTTTTACTGATCCTCCTTTTTTTTTTCTCCGACAATAATCTACGTGTGCTCCTCCTATAGCCCTATTCGCATGATAAAAAAATATGATCCTTGCATGTATAAAAAAATATTATAATATTAGTCCGTCCCTAGTACCGCAATTCTCGCGTCAATTTGTTTGGTAATATCTCGAGCTAAAATGTTAAACACAGTCTAAACCACATTTTCATTGGATGAGAATATAATACTTTTAGTTGTGTAGAAGATTGAAGAAGCAAGAGAATTATTAAATATAAGATGATGTCGGGGTAAAAATTAATGGAACTCCACTATAGGTTATATTTATATTAATGGAAAGCAACTATAAATTGTTAACAAAAGTCTTACCAATAAACAAATAAATAAGAGAGCATCATATCATATATATAAATAAACAATGCGGGACTGGGATCCAGATTAATTTAGGCTCGTGCGTCAAATCTCTATAGACTAAATTTTAGTTGCTTAAAAAATAAGACGAAATGGTCTCTCTTGACTGACTGACCCTTTCCTAATTGTCGTATATAATTTTTATTTAAATTTTAAATGTTGAAGATCATCATCAACGATGGAAGCTCCAACCCTCGTTCTTCTTCCTTTCCTCGTCCTCGTGGTTTTGATACTCTCTACAGGAAAATCTGTTTGCGTAGGCAAGCATATAGCACCGAAAACATTCCCGGTCATCGGATGCTTAATTTCCTTCTATAAGAACCGAAACCGGTTGCTGGATTGGTATACGGAGCTCCTAACCGAATCACCAAGTGGGACAGTGATCATTAAGCGCTTGGCAGCCCGGAGAACGGTGGTGACGGCCAACCCATCCAACGTCGAGTATATTCTCAAGACAAACTTTGATAACTACCCGAAAGGCAAACCCTTCACGGAGATTCTCGGAGACTTTCTCGGCGATGGGATATTTAACGTTGACGGGAACCTGTGGTTAAAGCAGCGGAGACTCGCTACTCATGATTTCACCCCAAAGTCGCTTAGAGAGTACGTTGCCGTTTTGAGGAAGGAAGTGCAGGACGAGCTTTTGTCCTTCTTGGACGCTGCGGCCAAAGATTCTCAACCCTTCGATCTCCAAGAGCTTCTCCGGAGATTCACTTTCAATATCGTCTGCATTGTTTTCCTCGGGATCGATGGTTGCAGTTTAGACCCGTCGTTTCCGGTTTCTGAGTTCGATCGAGCGTTTCACACCGCGGCTGCGGTTAGCGCTGGACGCGGTTCCGCACCGCTGTCTTTCGTGTGGAAGCTGAAGAGACTGGTCGGTTTTGGATCTGAGAGAGATCTCAGAAATGCTGTCCAAAAAGTTCATAGCTGCGTCAATGAGATCATTCGAGAGAAGAAGATTAATAACACCACCAATTCCAAGAGCGATTTTCTGTCGCGGTTGATCGTCGCGGGAGAAAGCGACGAGGCTGTGAGAGATATGGTGATTAGTGTTGTAATGGCCGGGAGGGACACGACGTCTGCGGTCACCACACGCTTGTTTTCCATAATCTCCTGTCACAAGACAACCGAGCGTGAGCTAGTTAATGAAATCAGATCGGTTAAGGATATAACCAGCTGGGGGGGCTTCGATTACGAATCGCTGAAGAAACTGAGTCTGTTGAAAGCGTGCTTGTCTGAAGTGATGCGATTGTATCCTCCGGTGCCTTGGGACTCCAAACACGCCCTAACTGATGACCGTTTACCAGATGGTACGGGGGTGCGTGCGGGAGACCGGATTACGTATTTTCCATATGGGATGGGAAGAATGGAGGTGCTTTGGGGAAAAGATTGGGATGAGTTTAAACCAGACCGATGGTTTGATGAGTCTTATGATCATAAGACCAGAGTTTTGAAGAAAGTCAACCCTTTCGAGTTTCCGGTTTTTCAAGCCGGTCCGAGGGTTTGTCTCGGGGAAGAGATGGCGTACATGCAGATGAAGTACGTTGTGGCTTCCATGCTTGACCGTTTTCACATTGAACCGATTGGTACGGACAAACCGGTTTTTGTGCCAATGCTCACGGCTCACATGGCTGGTGGGATGCAAGTCCGCGTTCGCCGGAGAGATGGATCTCGATGAAGAGAACCAGATTTTGCATTTTCTGTCCAAATAAAGTCAAATGATCACTATGGTTCTTTTGAATGTAAGTAAAATGTTTCCACGATCATATTTTCTCTTTTCTTCTTTGGGTAAACCAACCCACACTTTAATTTTCGAGACTTAATAAACATCAGTAAAAACTTATATACTTTTGTTGCAAAAATAAATTTAGTTGAGAAGCAAATTAGTGACACGTGTATTAAAAGCAACGTGAGAGTACATTCGTTAGTATTGTTAAATCCGAGTGATAGTACATTCCTAATAAATACTAGATCTACCCAATTGTAGTAAGATTTTTTTTGGTTAAAACTATTCTATGAATTAAATTTGATATGATCTTTTGGGTAAAGTTATTTTTTCTATCGCTTTGTTTGGTTGTCTACTGACACCTACTCCCTTCTGTACCGATTTGAATAATGTGATACTCCAGTGTTATAAAAAAAAAAAAATTTGGGAAAAAAAAATTTGATATGATCTTGACAATGAAATTGGATTAAAACAATCAACGAAACCAAATTCTCTATTAACAGATATAGTAGTCTTAGCTAAAAAGTGTGTTGTGGAATTGTCTGTTAGAATAACTAAGAGCATCCGCAATGGCGGATTATTAGGGGAATCCTTAGGAAAAAAAAATGGATATTTCAGATTATATAAGGATATTTCAGATTTTTTCTTTAAAAAAAAAAAACTGACCACTTACGGACCGCCACGTGGACAGTTGAGCCCGCGAATAGTGTAAGGATCAATCCTTACATAGGGATTTTAAGGATAAAATCCATTCCAAAGTTTTATATATGTTTGCTAAGCTTATCTTTATGGTACATGTGAATCATTTTAAATTTCCAATGATTCATTTATTTAACATTCAAATACCACTTAATATGCGGATTAACCCCCAAAAAATCCTATTTTCTGGAGAAACGAAAACATTTAAGGTCTAAAACCTATTTAATATTCATACTATTGCTGTGTATGATGCATCTATGCATTAAAACAAAAATTCAATTTTTTTATATTTTTTTTGAAATATGTGGACTAACCCCTATGAAAAAGCTGAATTTTCCGTTAAATACTATGTTTACTATTTACCATATTTCGTGTTGTTTAAAAAATACCTAAACCCACTTCAAATTTTTATATATGTTTGGTAAACCTATATTTATGGTACATGTGAATCATTTCAAATTTTCCAATGATTAATTTATTTAACATTCATATACAACTTAATATGTGGATGAACCCCAATAANATGGTACATGTGAATCATTTCAAATTTTCCAATGATTAATTTATTTAACATTCATATACAACTTAATATGTGGATGAACCCCAATAAAAATTCTATTTTCTGTAGAAATGAAAACATTTAAGGTTTCAAACCTATTTAATAGTCATACTATGTCGGTGTATAATGCACATATTCATTAAAACAAAAACTTCATTTTTTAATAATTTTCATGAAATATGTGGGCTAACCCCTATGAAAAAGCTGAATTTTCCGTTAAATACTATATTTAATATTTACCATCTTTCGTGTTGTTTAAAAAATACCTAAACGCACTTCATATTTTTATATATATTTTCTAAACTTATCTTTATGGTACATGTGAATCATTTTAAATTTGCCAATGATTAATTTATTTAACATTCACATACCACTTAATATGTGGATTAACCCCAATAAAAATCCTATTTTCTGGAGAAACGAAAACATTTAAGGTCTCAAACCTATTTAATATTCATACTATGGAGGTGTATGATGCAGCTATGCATTAAAACAAAAATTCAATTTTTTTATATTTTTCTTGAAATATGTGGGCTAACCCCTATGAAAATGCTGACCTTTCTAGTTAAATACTATATATACTATTTACTATCTTTCACGTTGTTTAAAAAATACCTAAACCCATTCCAAATTTTTATATATGTTTTCTAAACTTATCTTTATGGTACATGTGAATCATTTTAAATTTCCAATGATTCATTTATTTAACATTCCAATACCACTTAATATGTGGATTAACCCCAATAAAAATCATATTTTCTAGAGAAACGAAATCATTTAAGGTCTCAAACCTATTTAATATTCATACTATGGAGGTGTATGATGCAGCTATGCATTAAAACAAAAATTCAATTTTTTTATATTTTTTTTGAAATATGTAGACTAACCCCTATGAAAAAGCTGAATTTTCCGTTAAATAATATATTTAATATTTACCATCTTTCGTGTTGTTTAAAAAATACCTAAACGAACTCCATATATTTATATATATTTGCTAAACTTATCTTTATGGAACATGTGAATCATTTTAAATTTTCCAATGATTAATTTATTTAACATTCAAATACCACTTAATATGTGGATTAACCCCAATAAAAATCGTATTTTCTGGAGAAACGAAAACATATGAGGTCTAAAACCTATTTAATATTCATACTATCGTGGTGTATGATGCATCTATGCATTAAAACAAAAATTCAATTTTTTTATATTTTTCTTGAAATATGTGGGCTAACCCCTATGAAAATGCTGAACTTTCTAGTTAAATACTATATACTCCCTCCGTTTTATATTAAGTGTCGTTGTAGAGAATTTTTTGTGTTACAAAATAAGTGTCGTTTTCGGTTTTCAATGCAAAATTTATTAATTTTATTATGTAATTTGTTTTTCTATTGGTTAAAATATGGTTAGGTGTGTGGGTAATTGTGTTTTTATATAGGAAATATGTAAAATTAATTGTTTCCTTAATCCG